TTTTTTGGAGGTGGAGTCTTACTACCCAGCCAGAATGGTCTTGAATTCCTAGGCTCAAGTGATCTTGCTTCAGTCTTCTAAAGAGCTAGGACTTCAGCTACACACTGCCACAGGAGCCTTTATTTTGTTGCTCTGATACTAAAGGGAAAAACAATTGCATTTACTAAATTAAGAGTCAGGAACAAAAGCCAAGGCTGTGGAGATGGCTCTGACGGTAAGGCAAGCACAGGGACCTGAGTTTGGACTGTCAGCATCCACATTAAAAGCCCAGCACAATGCTGCTTGCCTGTGATCCTAGCACTGGGGAGGCGGAGACAGGAGGGTCTCTGGGGCTTCCTCGTGGCCAGTCTAGGTGAACTGGTGAGCTCCAGGTTCAGTAAGACACTGTCTCAAAAACTGAGCATGGATGGGGCTCAGCAGAATAAACACTGCTCTTGCTCCCATGTCAGGCAGCTTGCCTGCAACTCCAGCTCCATGGGATCTGATACCCTCTTCTGGCTTCTGCTCACATGCGCACACATTTGTACATACATAGAAGAAAAAGAAAACCTGTGCTAGTCAGAAAGGGGCGAGAATCACATCTGTCAAAACCTAGCATGCACTCACAATCCAGTTCTTCCCCCACAGACACAGACGGAACTTTACCCAGTGAGAGCCTGTCACAGCACAAGAAGAAACAGCCTCCCGGCCCAGTTCCATCCAAGGTGACCTGCTTACATTGACAGGTTTGGGTCCCAACCAGTGCCACCAGCAACTCAGCCCTCCAGCCCAATTGTTGCCATGACCTTCCTTGCCCTTCCAGCTGCCTCGATTTATGGACCTGCTGACACTCTTCACTGGCCTTGACCACCTCTTCCTGCCCCTCTGCTCTCTCCTGGCCAGGCTGCCTGTGTGTGTCCTGGTGATTCTGTCCGCCTTCAATGCTCTCACTGGGCAGAGGCCCAGCTCTGATTCTAAGTGCTTCCCACCAGTGTGCGGGCACAAGCAGTTAGAAGGGCTGCAGAGTTGAGCTTCCCATGAGCTCAGGTGTGTCCTCTGTGTGCAAGGCATCTGACTGCTGCTGTGTATCTCCAACATCCCCTCTACATGGTGCTCTGTCCTCCACACACAGGCGGCATTCAGAGCCTGCACTGGGGCAGGATATGGGGCAGATGCTGTGGAGAGGTGCGCCTGAGCATGCACGTGGGGCCCGCCCATGCCTGCAGACAGCCCCAGTTGCTCCTCCTAAGACTGCAGTGCTATAGTCCCGGAGAAGCTGGGGGCTGGGAACCTGTGCAGCAGACTACATCAAAACTGTTTTATCCTTGTCTCCCTGGGAATGGTGGCTTGGCCAAGGCAGAGAGGGGGACTGTTGGGCACAGAGGAGGCCCCACTGGAACCCACTCAGGGCCCTGTCTCAGGGACACTTCCTTGCTATCTCCTTGTCCTAGGAACTTATCAACACTGATTCCCAGAGAGAAGAGAGCAGGTTTTAACCCTATATCCGTGTACTCTGTGTGCTGGCGAGATCCAACAGAGCCCTGACTGTGATCCTCAGAGGCAAAGAGGTATTCAAAGACACAGGGAAGCCCTCATTCTGACTTTCTCCTGCTTCCCTGCTGGTTCTTCATGAGATAGGGGCCAAACTGCCAACTCTGACCAACCGTGGCCCTCTGGGATAGGAGTAAGCCCATATCTACCTCATTCATACCTCGAAACAGATATGGCATGGAGGACTGGTCTCCAGGGAGATGAGAAACTGGGAACCTGGTAGGAACCTCAACTGAGAAAGGACCAGTGCCCACCCTGGGGGCCATGTTCCTGAGTATGAGAAAGCTCTGCAGGGACATGGAAGAATGTCAGGGCCCCGTGCTTCTATATTTCTCATGTACAAATAGCAGTGTGCACTGGGCGCACGATCCCATTGCAAACCCCATGTTCTGCTTCAGGATGCCCAGACACTCTTGGTGCACAGGGAGATAACCCTGCAGTTTTCTGACTCACTGCCCCCAGTGGCTCTGCCGAGGCCATGACTGTGGCACAGCCAGGACTGCAGATGGACACACGGCTGGGACTTTCTGCCGAGCACACTGAGCTGCTCTGGCCCACGGCTCAGTGGACGGGGGTGGGGAAGAGCCTTGTTATTACTTAAAGACCTAAAACACTATTGGCTGTAAATCAGTCCCTGCTTCAAGGCTATGGACCCTACTCCATGTGGAGGAAGGAACGGGGCCTGGGTGCCACCTGTACCTGACAGCGCCTGAGGCTCAGACTTGATGGCTCACAGCAGAGACACCTCAGGGAGGCAGGCTTGAGGTTCTCCCGGCACTCTCCAGTAGATTGTCCTCTGCAGGCATCATACCGGTCATAGCAGCCCCTCCCTGACTGAGCTCTGGCCTGGGTTCAGGACCCTCCAGAAGGATCTGTGGCCACCAGTGGCTCTCACAACTCATGACCTCAGGTGCCAGGAATGCTCGGCGCGGCGTCATCTGGTTCTGATTACCCATGCTAGGCTGCGGGCGCCCCAGCCAGGGATCTGCGTCCCAAGTGGCTGGGAGATTGATTTGGGCTCCTCAGAGGCTTTAGCAGGAGGATGTGAGGAAGGCACGTCTGAACCACCATCGGGTTTGGGCCAAGGCAGGCAGCCATATTTTGGTGCCATGGCACTGCAAGGATGCTGGGGCCTGGAGGCCATCTCGCTGGCTCTCAGGTGTTAAGAATGATTTCAAATAGCTTGTCTCAGCAAATTACCAGATGCTTCTTCCCAGAGGCCTGGGCTTTACAGAACCAGGATCTCTGGAGCCTCTAGGGCCAGCACCAGACCTGACTCTGGGCCTTCACCAGAGTCATGAGTCATTCCCACCCTCCCAAGCAGAAAGGCAAGCTCAGCAGGGGGGCTGGGGCTCCCCACCTCCTTTGATGTGTACTGCTGAGTCAGGCCCTGCCCACCTCACCCCAACTACTTCCATGCTACAGTTCCTAGCTCCCCTTCTGCTTTAACTTTTCAATTCATTAGTAGAGTAAAAGTTCATCTCTGGACTGGAACAGGCCCATAAATTAAGTCTTAAGTTCCAGCAGCTGTTTCCCAAGCATGTTGGGACAGTCCAAGAAGACATGGGCTGGAAGGGTTTCTTTCCCGGTGTGGGGGGTAAGAGGCTGGAGTAGGAGCTGTACAGAGCTGGCAGGAGCTGCCTAGGTGTCAGCCCTCCGCCTGCAGGCTGAAGAGAGTGAAGCCACAAGAGGCAATGGATGCTGGACCCCCGGGATGCTGCCATTTTCCAGGCTTCAGAGGCTGCAGGGGGTGTGTGAAAGAGACCCCAAAGCCTAATTACTGGGCTCAGCACCTAGTGAGGGGGCACAAGACACGCAGACTGAGAGGTTGAGTAGCGACTTCCCCACATGCTCACACACAGGCCACGGTTCTGAGGGCTTAGAGGCTCTTCTGCATGTTAGAGGTCCTTTCCTTTACAGCAGGGGCACTAAGTAAAAGATGGATGGGTGGACGTACAGGACAGTTTTACTCTGAATCCACCATGTACCCAGAACAATAGGACCCACAGGGGTGGTCAAGGCTCAGAGCTACTGATCAGAGCCTGCCTTCCCAGTGGGCCTCACTGTCCACTTTCCTTTTCCTATTAGGCAGTGCTGGTGAGAAGGCCAGGCTGTCTATGCTGTCTCTGCCCCTCAGTGGGGCACTCCTGGATGTGCTCCTGCTTAGCCACAGTCACCGTCCCCAACCCATGGTACATCATCTTTTTGGGCAACTCTTACAGTTCTAGTCGACATCAGCTTCCTTCTGCTCTAGGACGTCCCTTGACTCCCATTCACTGTCCACAATCAGACCCTTTCCAAGAATGGCCTCATGATAAGGTCCTAATCTGTACCTTGGGTTTAGTGATGCTCTCAAGACCCTGGTGCCACCCAGCATCAGCTGAACCCTGACTTTCCCCACGCACCCACATACCTCAGGAACTGGTAGAGGCACTTAGACCTGGCCCTCACGTGCTCTAAGCAAACCTGATCCTCAGTCACAAGGCCTGAGCTGGGCAGAGTGAGGGTCCTGAGCAAGGTTTCCTTCCCACTTTGGGAAGGCTGCAGTAATGTACTCTGAAGTAATGAACTTCAGGGCGGAGGCAACCTGGGCCATCATGTCCGCACAGAAGGGTTGACATGGCCCCAGCTCTGTCCTAAGTGCTCTGGCCAAGTCCAGTGAAGCTGGGAGATGGGCTAAGGCCACATAATGCTGTACAGGGCATGGAGCTCTCCCATCAGGGCTGCTTCCAAGGCTAAGCATGTCCTCTGAGACTCTGGGGAACAGGTTCCTTTCTTACCCTAAGACTGTGTACCCAGGCCACCTCCGGGGGCCTGGCAGCCTGTCGTCTCCCAGGTCTGCAAAAAATCCAAGTCGGATACACATTCCACAACCTCAGCCATAACCCCTCTATCCCAAATGGGGAACAAGTCATCTGGGCCCCTTATACTGTACTCTGGAGGACAGAGGCAATCCTGAGGCATACAAACTAAGAGAGTCCACACGATGCTGTGGGATCATCTCTAGCAAGCCCTGCCCTTACTGCCTGGTGGGTTCTCCTGTTACCCGTGACCAACAGTCTCCCTAGGGCCAGCTTATAGCTCCTACCAGGTCATGGCTTTGCAGGGCTTTCTACCACTTTTCTTTTCCTTTCTTCTTTCTTTCTTTCGTTTTTTTTCCCCCCTTTGATTAATCAGTTCCTTACTGACCACATTCCTCTGAGTTTTCACAAAGGAGTTTGGTCTGCCTGGACACTACGTGCCTTTTTTCTAGATGGACAAGACTTGATGGCTGTTAACCCAAGGTCCAGGAGAAACCCAAACCATGTGAACGGTGAGCCCACGCCCACTGGCCCTTGCTCCCCTACTGCCTCCAAGTGATTAATTAGCTAGGGAACTGCAGCCGCTCCTCTTCATGCCTAAATATTGTTTCGGCCTATCAGACTGTTAGTGCAGAGCAGGATAAATGAGACCCGGGCCTGTGCACTGACCTGCAGGGACTGCTGGGCGTCCAGACTCCAGACAGCCAGTACCTTCCCGGCAGAGCCTGAGACGCCCTTGGCCTTCTGAGAATCGAAGTCAAGGCCCATGACAGGTTCTTCATGGCAGGCGATTTGGCTGCACACCTTCCGCTCTGAGATGTCCCACAGGGTTACCGATCCATCCTCATAGCCAGCCAGAAGGAGGGGGCGGAGATTGGAGTTGCTCTGTGGGGAATGGCACAGTGGTTGGCTCTCAAAGGGTCTTGTCTTCAATGAGCTTGAGGGCTGTGGGAACAGCTATTTCTCTGGCCATGCCCAGAAGTGGGTTGGCCCAGCCAGAGAACAGTTCCTTTTGCTTTCCACACAGCCAGCAGCCTCCCACATGCCTCTCACGGGGCTGGCAGGGCCATTGCTGAGTATCTGAGGAGCTGGGGGTGGAGTGCAGAGCGGTTGAGCTGAGCCCCCAGGCCTCACACGGTCATGCATTTCCACTTACACTGGATCCCATCCAAAGCAGGGATGGCGTGATACCCACTGGCACCTACTAACACCCTGGGGCGGCTAGGGACGGACTCATCCTTCATCATCACCCCCAGGTGTAAGACTCGAAGCCAGTCCTTATTGAGGCTAGTCATCTAGAACCACCAGGCAGGAAAACTAAAAGCTCAGTGAAAAGGCTTTTCTGGGCTTTGTTAACGTGGCTGCAGAAGCCCCCACCCTTGGAAGTTTGGTGTGAGAGGCCCTCACTACCGTGATGGATGAGGGCGAGGGTCAGAGGGCTCTTCGCCCTGGGCTGATGCTCGTTTATTTAGCCCCTGAAACAACTACAAAAGAAGAGTACTGCAGGATTCCAAGTCACCCTCAAGGACATACCATCAGTCCCTGAACTGCACAGCAGCCCAAGAGAAACTGCACAGGGCTGAGCACGGAGGCCCAGGCTAGCTGGAGGCCTATGGCATGCATCTAACAAACAGCACAAGGGCCAGGGCTCTCTGGGTCAGCACAAGTAGTGGTATGATGTAGGGCACCTTTGGGGGACAGTAGGACAGGGCCCACTGTAGACCAGCATCTGGAAGGATGGCTATAACAAAGAGGGACACAATTGCCAGACTTTCTGCAAGTGCGGTGAACTTACCAAGGCCAGAGCTGCCATAGATGTGGCCTCTATATGTCCCCAGAAATGGATGGTAAACTGATTGTGTCCTGCTGGTGATTCAAGTTCACACATATAAAATAGGAAGGAGTGAGGCTCCTGAGAGGAGGCATGACACTTTCTGTGTTTTCCTGGGTGATTTATTTTTAGCATCATCTTCAGTCCCTCTCTCCTAGGGCCAGAGCCCACACTGTGTGCTTTGACCATAACCCCAAGAGGCAGGGTTGTCCAGGTCTCTGCACATGTCCAGTACCTGGTGCAATAGTTCTGCCTGGCTCTGCAGAGGCCCTGTCTGCACTGCTGCACTGTTCCTAAGCTTTGTCACAGGGATCAGCTCCCTGCTGGTGTTTCTCAGGTCATCTACTTGGAAGTGATTTGTGCAGACCATACTCTCTGCCCTACTGGCAGCTAAGTCCCTTCACACAGGCTGCTTAGACAAGTAGCTGTGAGCTGGGTCATGGCAGAGGCAGTGCCAGGTGCAAGAATTCCAGAACCCTTTGCATCCCAATGAGGAATACATGCCAACTCTTGTCATTCTTAATCACCAGCCACAGCATGGCCACCTGGTAGATGCTACCCTGAAGTTCACTTGAGAGAACTGTGTCAGGCTACAGCCCTAGCATTGGTCTGTGGTGACATCTATCACATTCCCACAGCTCTGGCTATGCTGCCTCTCTTCACCAGGCTGCTTTCCTTGTTTTCTGAGTCAGGGCAGTTCAGAGCTCCCCTCATTACTGGTATGAGTTCTAGCTGGCATGCACAAAGCTTCTGACTATGAGTCCTGAGCAATATAGATTATTCAGGGGCTACTAGAAAGACCCCTCTGCCATGGTAGCCAGAGCAGGAGCCAGACTGGCCCAGAAGGTAAGCTTGGGATTTCAGCCCCTGCCAGTTACCACCACAGCCCAGCACCTGGCCACATCACTCTACTAGTTCTACCCTGGTCCCTGTAGCCTTCTAGTGACAGGCAGCACAGGCTTGACAAGTATTCTTGTAGCCAGGAGGCCTCTGGTGGCCACAGCTCTGACGCTGCAAAGCCGAGGATCTGAAGTCATCCTGCCCTTCCCTCTTTAGCAGCTCCTTGTCCACAGCTGGGACCTACAGACAAAGACTGACTCTGAAACCTCTTCCACCCTTTGAAGTAGGGCCTGAGAGATGGTAGCAGGACAGGGGCCTATAGGAACCCCAATGCTGTGTACTGCAACTCAGCTAGAGAGGCCCCAAGACTCAGACTGGGAGCCTTCTCTGAGGGTGGGTATGGTGACGTTAGCCCGATTTACGGCCTGGAGTTATGTAGCAACACAGAAGAGCTACTTTGAGGCACAAACTAAAAATGGACCTGAGTATTTCAGAAAAATTTATCAAGTCAGGATACTTTGCTACACTCAGATTAGTGAGTTCCTATCCTAGGATTTCTGGATTTAGGAGAAAACAAAGAACATTCCTATAACCAGAGGCCTTTTGCAGCTACAGGCTTCATGTTGGATCTATATCACCAACAGAACCATGATTTGTCCTTCTGTCAACTATATTAATTGCCTTAACAAGTTTGTACATCCCTTTCTACACATTTTTTTTTTCTGATGGAATTTTTACATGATTGTGCAATGACCTATGTTTCCCAGGGTACAGAATAGGGATCGGTGTAGCCACAGATGCCTGTGCCAGAACCTGTATGTACTGTGGTCACCCCCCCTAGATACTAGAGTGTAAGTAAGCGAAGGCAGAATGAGGATACATTTATTTCCCCAGGGATGTGCCCAGAAACTCTTGGGGAGCCCCATCGGGACACACTGTAGCAAGAACTAGGCTCTGCCTCTGACAGGTTGCAGACTTGTAGGCCCCAGGAGCTTTGTTAGATAGGGTCTCAGAAGCCCTGCCATGGTCACCCCCCAACAAGGCTTTCCCCCAGGAAGCTGCATAGCAAAGGCGGCACGCTAGGATCAGCTTATTGAAGACTCCAAATCTAACCCAGATCTCTCATTTAAGAAGCTATAGGGAGCTGGAGGGGATGGCACAGTGGTTAAAAGCACTGGCTGCTCTTGCAGAGGACCCAGGTTAGATTCCCAGCACCTACATGGTGCTCACAACTGTCTGTAACTTCAGTTCCAGAGGTCCAAAGCTATCTTTTGACTTCCATAGGTACCAGGCACACAAGTGGTACACACATTCATGTAGACAAAATACCCATACATAAAGATAAAAATTAAAAAAGAAGCTGCAAGGAAAGCCACATGAAAGCAGGCCAGACATCTTTCTGCCATCCATCCAGACAGAATCCCTGGGGCAGGCACAGAAGTGCCTTCCCCATGCCTCCTGTGGGTCATGCAGGCAATTCCAAACTGAGCAAGCCCATCATCTCATCTCACTTTTTAGAAGAGTTCAAGGAGGCAGCAAGTATAAGACAGAAATCACCAATGAGAACTAGAAAGATGGCCAAAGGGTTACAAATCCCTCCCCACATGGGCGCTAACCTCTGACCTGCCCACTGTTGTCTGTACCAGTTAAGATAGGGGCTGAGGCTTCCAGGACTCTTTGCAGATAAATACAGTAAATAGAGGTGACCCAGAAGGGAAAGATGCTGACCTTGATGTTGCCCGGGAAGGCCTCACCTTGTAAAGGTCTGGTGCTTTGGAAGGCAGAGGTGGGGAACTCCAGACCTTAGGCTGTGATGTCTACCTGGGTCCTAGTTTCTGCAACAGCCCCAGGAGATGGTGCCTGACCCCCCAACAGAAACAGAAATCAAGAACAAAGAAAATGGCTACAGGTTAGATATCCATGGGATGGCCGTGGGGAAATCATCATGCTAATGTTCCCCTATAAGGTCAAGTCAAGGAGTGACAAAAATGAATGCCTAGCACAGTGAGGTCCACAGGCTTGTTGACATCAGCTAGCCTTTTCCCCAGCCTCAGCAGAGCCAAGGACCAAAAATGCTGAGAAAAAGGGTACATTCTTCTGGGAGCGGGCCCAGCAGCTGACCCAACTGTGCCCACCTCACAGCCACATCTGGGCATCCATGCGGCACACTGCCCAGGGCACCTGGTTTCTCTGTGATGTTTCTCTTGGGGTACCTTCCAAGCAACAGTCAAGAGAAGCCAACGTCCAGTCAGCTTTGGGCCCCAGAGGACAGCAGGTACATGTTCTCTAAGGGATAGTAGATTTGATGACAAATCCAATCCCGAGTGGGCATGACTCAAGGCTGTCGGGTGTGGCTGGCGCATGCTGTCTTACCTGCCACAGCCCCAGGCACATGGGCATGCCTGGCTTGGCATCCGCCTCCGGCTTCAGGGTGCACACTGACGTCTTGGATGGCATCTCCAGAATCTGAACCTGACAGTGAGAAAACAAGCTGATTTGGGCTGATGCCAAGCCAAGTCTCTGCTATGCAAACAAGAGACGTTTAAGGCGATTAGCCAAGGCTGCTTCGAGTTTCTGTCTGCTCCTCTCCCTGTAGGGACCTGAGCGCAGAGCCTCCTAATTAGTCTGTAAAGGCTAGAGGGCTTTGATGCTCCTGTGGTCCTTGCAAAACAAATGCTCACATCATTCCTGAATGACCACCCTTTCACCAGCAAGTAGCTACCACATGCCTTTCCCCATTCTGTCATTTGGACAAAGCAGGTCTGGCCTACTTGGACCTACTTACTTTGGCCATTCTCCCTCCTTTGCTTGTCTGTCTCTCCTGGGTTACGGTTTCCAAGGTCCCTCTCTGAATAATGATGCAAAACCCTTGTGTAGCAGGCCTGGGACCCTTCCACTACCCTATCAGCATGCTACCTGGAGCCAAGGCCAGCACCACTGGATCCTAGTTTTCAGTACCCAAGTACCTGACTTGCCAACCTAGCCTGAGATGCCAGGCCTTTCTGTGCCTAGGCTGAGATAGGCCTTGTGGTCTACACAGACCATGTGGATATGCAAATCCAAGTGGACTGCTCATATGCTGGCCAGCACCATCCTTAGTGTATGGCCAAGGCCACGAGGCCCAGATGGGATTGAGTTCCCAGACACCCTGTATCTAAGGTGCTAAAACAGGACCCTCATTCATTTGGGGGGAAGTGAGACCTCTCACATGAGCTCAAGGAACAGAAGGGCCCCACACAACATGCTGCAGCCCAGGACCAACCAGATGTTTCCTATGCCTTTATATGCCTGGGGTTCTACTGCACTGTGATGTATACTTTCTGGTGTCACATGAGCTCTGTGGGTTCTGGAATCTCTGAACTTCTCTAGGTATCAGCAAGAACAACGGTCCATGGTAAGTAGCAAGAGCATGAACACAAGCCCGCTTAGCATGCCCTGGTTTCACACAACAGAGCTCCCAACAGATGGGGAGTTATCAACTGGACAGCACATACACGTGGTGTGGGCAGGCTGGGAACGATGTCCGAGAGGCCAGAGCCTGGGCAAGTGAGAGCTGCATTGCCCTTGCCAACCTATGCCACATAGAACCTTATCTGCCACAGCCACAGAGATGATTCTCTATCAGTCACCTGAATCCTATGGTGCTGGGTCCAGGGCAGCTTCCAGGCAGGAAAGAATCCCAAGCATATCAGTTAAGAGCCCTGCTGATGTGTCCATTTCTGATAGATGGGGGGGGGGGGGGGGGGGGGGCAGGGTACTCTCTGGCAGGGTAATCTCATCAGGGTTTCCACAGTGATTGGAATTCCAATATTCAAATTGAGCCCTAGAAATGGCTCACAGCTATCTGTCCCATTTACTGCAGATGAGTCTTATGGCCCCTGCCTTTGTAGAGGCAGGGAAACTTGCTCAGGTCTTTGTCTGAAGAACACTTGGCTGCCTGTGGGAGATGGTAAAGGGAGAGTCCTAGGCCCTGGTAATGTTGTGGGGCAAGACATCAGGATGGCTGTCACAGCTCCAGAGATGGGCTGGCAGGATAGTGCCCAGAAGAAGGGGTTCCAAGGAGGCAGGAAGGTAACTGTGAGGTAGTATCAAGTGACCAGAGTGGTTGCTGACTAGTCAGACTACACAGCAGTACCCATGACCCAAGGGCAGAGGAAGCAGAATCCATGATGGGAAGGGGTGCCCAAAACATGGAAAGGGGCTATGTATGGAGGAAGCCAGGACAGAGGATAATATAGAGTAGGAGGGTGGAACAGTACCAGGAGAAGAAGAGACGGACGGTGTGGCTTTACAGTTGCTCCCAGGACAGAAGGTAGAAGAGGAAGGGGCTCCTAGCCACAGCCCTGTCTCCTCAGGCCCATGGGCCTCCTCAGCCAGCAGCACTGAGTAGGCAGCTCCTACTGGTGCTGGCAGATCAGGCCTGTGCACTGGGTTAGGCTTGGCTCCTGCCCAAGAAAAGTCATTTTGTCTCCAAGCAGATCTAGTTCATAAATAATGAGATAGTAACAGGCATTTATTTGTTCATGATTGCATTTAAATCACCAATTAGGAGCTACATACACTTTTCTTGCCAGTTTGCCAAAAACCTGTTAAAAGTTTTATTAATGTGAGGGATAGGGGAGTAGCTTCCTCTTGTACAGCAAGGCAGGCGGTACCAGGTCATTCTAAGCCACAGAGCCGTAAGATGCTACTCTGAGGGTTAAAGAGACCTTAGACATCCTCAGGCCAAGAATCAGTATAGTCTTCCTCCATGTGGGTCACAGGCCCTGTGCAGCTTTCACCAGCTTCCTGGCTCTAGCCCCCAGTGCAGGTGGCATTGTATTTTCAAAACAAATTTATTACATTTATTTATTAGTGTGTGTGTGAGTGTGTGCGCGCACGAGTTTGTGTCTGTTTGAGTGTGTACACAAGTCTTGTGAGTCAGTTCTCTCCTTTCACTGTGTGGGGTCTGGAAATTGAACTCAGGTTGTCAGGCTAGGCAGCAAGCACCTTGACCCACTGAGCCATCTCAACAGCTGGATGCTGCATTTCCAGAAGCAGCCAGCACATCCTGGGCAAATGGTTGTTTTCTAGTCGGCCTGGAATCTGCCTAAACTGGGGCCTGAAAAAGCATAGCTGGCTTAGGCCCAAACAATGCCCGGGAGCATGCTCCCACCCCTCGCGGCTGTCTGGGTGGCCACACTTGCCCAAACCTAACATTTTTCCTTCTGGAAACAAAAGCTAGAGTTGGGTGCCAGATGGAACGCTCCAGCATCTGTAGGAGGCTCTATGCTCAGGGAGGCCTGGGGAACCAGGGTAGGCAAGGCAGCTACCCTGGGTTTGACCTTGGGATCCTGCTCTCCTGATATAGGATGGGTGCCTTCTACACTCACAACACATACCCCAGATCAGGCTCCTAGACGGTCCTGGGCTCACTGTCCCTCTTCTTAGCCTGAGCAAATTTAAAGAGCTCCTACCTAGGGGCCTTTTCCATCCTGCCTCTCTGTGCTACCATAATGGGGTCTTCCTGAGTGCTTGGGCAGGGACAGTTCCAGCCATGGCTTGTAGACTGTGCACACTGTGTACCTGTGACTTCTGTATCCTTAGGCTGCTGCACTAACCTCCCGAGAATATACCTGTGTGGAGTGTAGTTCCCACCCCTCACGTTTGGGTTTGAACATGGTCCTGGCCCTTTGGTTCCTCATCTCTGGCCATGTGTTGTACCCACAGCTCTGCAAACAGGGCGGCAGCTGATTCTATGGAAAGAAGCCCTGAGATAAGCTTAGTTTACTCTTATAGAAAGCAGAGGGTCCTGGTGCTACAGCCTGGCTCCATCTCCTGTTACTTTGGCCTCATTGCTGTTGGGTTGTGGTTTTCAGATGTCTTTTTCTCCTGTTCCTTTTCTTTTTACTAGCATTTGTAGAACAGCTGGTTTCAGAGAAGGCCTGGATGCCCGGAAGTTCCTCTTTACTTCTTCTTGCCCCCAGACTTGCTCCCATTCTGGCTTGTGAGTTCAGGCTTTATCCTCCCTTCTTAAAGCCCTTGGCCACACCTACCCTCACACAGCTCCAGAATCTTCTGCATTTTCACCGTGTCACAGCTCTGGCCCTGACTGTGGGCTCCTGTTGCTTCAGTTTTCTTCAGTGTGTCACTATATCAGCATCTCTGTTGCCTTTTCCATCAGGCTGACAGTGTACCAAGGCCCCCAATTTCTGGAGGTTCCTCTCTGAATATATATTTTCATGTATATGAATATGTGAACAGACATATATTGTGTGTGTTTGTGTGCACATACATGCAGGACTAGACATAGTCCTAAGTGGCCCTCATCCAGGAACAGTGTTATGCAGAGTACCAAGGTCTGCCTGAGCCTTCCCTGATTTTCACTATTGTCTTGGAAGGATAGGACCTCACATTTGACCAGGCTGTGCCTCAGCCTGAGGCTCCTAGAGATGCAGTGAATCAGGCAGGCTGTAGCCCTGCAGCTCACAGAGTACTGCACCATCACTGGGCCCTCCTTACTGGGGGAGGACACGTGTGTCTGGTTAAGACAAACCCAGTGTCATTAGTGTATGGAAGGAGCTCCAAGGGCTGGTCCTTACCTCATCACTGCCCTTCCCTGGCACAGCAAGCATCCAGCTTAGCTGTCCCCTGGTCAGAACAGAGCTCCTGCAGAAGCCCACACTGTCCAACTGAACTGAGTCCATGATAGCGTTCCTGCCCTCTGCCAAGTCCCACACACACAGCCGCAGGTCCCGGCCCTGGCTGAGGAAGCAAGGGGAGAGGTCTGTGAGACATTGTAGGCATGTATGTACCCACCTGAACCAGCATCTGACCCTTAGCCCTTCAATGCTGGAAAGCTTCACCCCATCCAAGCTGGAGGCCTCCGTGAGGAGGGTTTCTCTCCCAGTGTTCAGCTGAGTTGGCATCCAAGGTGCTGATGCCAGGACATTCAGTAGACTAAAGATGTGGACACTGAGGCATGCACCTATGGCTGGCCTCCTGTCATTCCAGTGCCACTAATGCACCCCTTGTACCCCCTTTCTTTCTGTAAATGGTCTTTAAGGACTCAGAAGTCTCATTCGGGTCTCTTCCAAAGTGTATTTAAGACCTAAATTCACTCTACATGCCATGCAAGCATGTTGACAGCAGCTCTATGAATCATCACCCGGGCTGGAAACAACCCAGCTGCTCTGCAACAAAGAATGGCCAAGTATGCTGTGCCACGGAGTGCCCCTCAGCAAGGGATGGCGCCGACTGCTGACACATGCCACAGCTGGAAGGAAGCTGAGCCGTGACTTGTGAAGTGAAAGAAGCCAGATCTGAAGGTTCTGCAACATGTAACTACACTCCTGTGACATTCAAGAAAAGGAATGGGCGCAGGGATGGAGAACCGTGAGAGAACTGACCACAGTGGCGGCTCTGGGCTTTTTAGGATGGCAGGCTGCTTCCGGTGGCCTTGGGGAAACGGATGCATGACGGCACTATGCCAAACCTGCAGACCCACAGACAGTGTGACTGTCACTGTGCACAGTGAGAACAGCCCCAGCCAGCTACGCAAGAGCCCAGGAACCTATGACGGACTGCACTATGACCGTGTGGATGACAGTGCACTGGGGCAGGAAGCACAGATGGAAGCTGACCCAAGGCACATGGACAAGTGTTGACTGAAGACTGTAGAAACTGTGGCTCTGAGCAGGCCTGGCTCTTTACAGGCGTCAGTTCTGCCTTCTCTGGAAGAGCAAATATGGGGGCCCGTAGTAGACATAAGGATGTTCCTTTCCAAATAGCTGTGACCGCGCTGGTGAACACACAGAACTGTGGGTCAGGTCAGAAGCAAGAGGTCAGTGTAAACATGTGTGTGGCCAGACACATGCAGATAGGAGACATGGTTGAACACAGGTGAATGTGACAGTATGGGCAATGTAGGCCCAGGCGTCCCCCTGTGCCACCCGTGGACAGCCCAGGGGCTCATTGTTTTTCTAAACATAACAACCAGATTTCTGAAGAGATGTTGATGCCAGAGCAGAGGTAAGGAAAAACCAACATGGGTTCAAGTATCTTGCAATATTGGGGAGTAAGGAAGCATTAGCAAATGAAACAAAAGATGTTATCAGCACTGAGCCCTTTAAAAATCCAGGATTCACGGGAGGGGCGGGGCGCAATGGTGCTTGCCTGAAAGAGAGAGACACACAGATCTCTGTGAGTTTGAAGCTAGCCTGGTCTACAAAGCGAGTCCAGGACAACCAAAGCTACACAGAGAAACCCTGTCTTGAAAAAACAAAACAAAACAACAAAAGAAAAAGAAAGAACAAAAGAGGGAAGGGGAACCAGGGACAGTTCTTCCTCCCAGATTCATCAGTTTTGATTAAAGCAAGACTCTACCAACAGGAGGAAGGTGGTACGAGGAAAACAGAGCCCCACGAGAGTATGCAAGCCAGAACCATTTCAGGCAGAAGCCACTGCTGAAAGCTGCCATTAGCCGGAGAAGCCAGGTTTTAGCACCGGCTCGAAGCGGACCTGCTTCTCAGGAACCCAGGAAGTGCTATGGAAATCACAGAGACCCTTGGGCCTCTGCCTCCCCAGTGCTGGGATAAAAGTCCTTGCATTTTAAAGGGCTCACTGCCAACAGCATCTTTTATTTCATTTGTCCTGTTAAGGGATGTCAAGGCCCAGCATGAGGGCTCTTTTCTAAACCACGTGAGACTGCAATTGCTCAGAGATTTTTCAGAGTTTGGAATGTTTGCATCAGCTTCACCAGTTAAACTTCCCTGTTTGGAAAATGGGAAATATGAAAAGCTCTAAAATCTGAAATGTTTTAAGTGCTGATACATGACACTCTAAAACTTTCAGGTTTTTATGCAGGGTGTGGTGGCACTTGCCTTTAATCCCAGCACTCAGGAGGCAGAGACAGACCAATCTCTCTGAGTTCAGGTCCAGCCTGGTCTACAACATAAGGAATTCAGGATGGTCAGAGATACATTGTGAGACCCTGTCTCAAAAATCAACAAAACCAACAAGAAACGAGCTTTCAGATTTTCAGACTGGGGAAATTCAAGTTCTTTGATGTGGGTCCAGCAGATACCACCTACCTATGTAACCAAGGCCAGCCTCACTTGCGAAGGAGCCCCAGGGACCCATGTACTTCTAGCATCACAAGGTTGGCAGTTACTGCACTGGGCTCCCTCCCGAAACCCAGGGCCTCAGTTTCTAAATCTGGGGCATTCTACAGAGTACTTGAGGAGCACTGAGATCATAGGAAATGAGGACCAGGGAACAACCCCCCAAAGCCCACATGCAGCTGCTAGCATTTCCTTCCTGTCTGTGACCTTGGATACTGATGTCAACAGGGCTGAATCTGGAGGGAAAGAACGGAAGGGATGATGGGACAACAGGCTTTACTTGTATCCCACATCAGCAGCACATTCCAGAGGAACTGTGAACCTAAAGAGGCAACAGTGAGCTCTGGAGATAGGTAAGGATGTCGGTGTCTTAGCATAGGCTTCTCCTTGATTCAGGAGCTTAACCACATGGGGACGGTCTGGCCAGTGTGACTCCATTACCAGGAAGACACCCCTAGGAGAGTGAAAATACATGCAAATCCTGTTGCAGAGACAATCTGCAATAGAAGAATACTGGTGCTATCTAAAATATCAAAATGACTTCATGTATCAACTAGAAAAAAATGCAGTCAGTCTACTAGAAAAATGGGCAGAAATCAGTGGTATGCCAAACTCACAGTAATCCTCCTGCCTGGCTTCCTGAGCACTGGGACCAAAGGTGTACATTAAATACCTGGTAGTCTTTTGTTTGTTTGTTTGTTTGTTTTCCTAACTTAGGGAAAACTGATAAATCCATTCTGCTCTCTTTCAAGACACACAGCGGGACAGTACAGCAGTCCTGGGCTGCCACCGACTCCACAGTGGGCAGTGCTACAGTGCTGTCCTTGACTGGGCAGTGGTTACTCAGGTGCCCTACTCAAGGGCTGCACACCCCTGTGCCAGCCTGTAAATATGTGCTTTCACAATGACAAAGTAAAGAAGTGCTGGCTAGTGCAGCTCTTGCGGCCCAGGTGCAACTAGAGCTGGGGGCTCTCCAGCCCTGCTGGAGAGAAAAGCACACAGCCCCTTCCAGGGCCTCTTGGGAGAAACCCAGACCCAAACACAGCTGAGGCCAGGCAGCCTTGGTGGGCTGTGGTCTCAGCACAGTGCAAATGCACCTGGGCATTCCATACCCGCAGCCCCCGCCCTGGCTGGGAGATAGGGTGCTTATGTAAGTGCCCACCCCAGGCTACCCTTCAGGCCTTTCAAGTCAGTTGGCTTGGCCCTGCTTTGTTCATCCCTGTCCCTTTAGCACAGGGTGCTGTGACCTCTGACCACTTCTGAGCCACAACCCCAAGCCTTTCCATTAGCTGCTGGTACCTGCTGGGCTGGTACCAGCTACCTCAGATGGCACCCAGACCTGCCTCATAGCACCAAAGGGCCCCAGGGAAGAAGATAATTCCATCTGACAGGGGCCAGAGCTGTCTGCTTCCCAAAGGCTGGAGATGGCCCTACACTCTCCACAAGCTATAGCTAAGCTGGCCAGATGGCCCCGCCCCTTCGGTTCATTGCCCATTCTGTTCTGGCTAAAAGGATGAACAGAGGCCTGTCAGAGTTCCCAGCATAAATCCCCTGGGACCTCCCTTGTGCCACTGTAACCCACCTGAGGAGCTGGTGTCCCTGGGGCAGTGTCTTCAACCAGGTTACACCCTGTCCACTGTGGCCATTTAGGGTGGCAACCATTCTTCTTGTCTGCAGGCTCCAGATGTGCACCAGGCCACCCTGAGACCTGTTGGAGAGAAGTCAGGCATAGGCAGGGTCAGGGGCTGCAGTCAGTAGGCATCCTGAACTCTCTCCAGGCCAATAGCACACACAACCAGTGAATGAAGACCTGAGCTGGAAGAGACTTGACCTGAACCAAAGGTCAGCCAGGCCTCACTTCCAGCAGAGGTGGCCAGAAGGGTCCAGGGGTGGGGGCAGTGGTGTGGGACAGAGAGACATGACTCTGCTCCTACCAGGAGTTCCAGTCAGGTTCTGAAAGTGAGGCAAGCACAGTCCCCCACCAGCACCTTAGACAGCACCCATGCCCCATGCAGCCTAGAGCTGAACAATGCCCTGGGCTTGGGGCAGGACAGCAGTTACTCACCCTGAGAAAAGGAGCGGGCTTTCTGGAGCTTGGGATGGTAGGCAGAAATGCAGCGTGTTCACAGCTGACTGTGTGCCTCGGAGGACAAATCTGGGACTAGGCGGTGGTGGGAGCAGGGCTGCCATGTGGGTAAATGCAGTCCTGGGGGTACAAGGGAGGACATGAGTGACAGAGAGCTCTATAACCCTTCAGAAGGCAGCTGGAGTGAACATTTAGAAAGCTGTTGGCTCAGTCCCTAACTTTTGTCCCTTCTGGAAAAACAATACTGTTAAAGGATACTGCTTTAGCAAAAACCCTAAGCCAGTTTAATATTATCCCCATATCCACTATTTGCATGCTTTCCGAATGACTGGGGCCTCAGTCTTTACTGTCCATCAGGTAACATCTGCTTACCCTGTTCTACCTTCAGCCGGAGTCACCATACCTGATATCTCCTCTCACCTATTTTCCATGCACATCCTCTACCTGCCGATAACTATGAACCCCTACTTGTCACACTTTGCAGAGTTAGGCCTAATCTCTTTCTCTCATAAGAACCTTGTCCCTATGATGGTCCATGAGTCAGGTACTCAGACTGTCCCCTCCCACAGTGACCCTGCACATTCACAACACTCGTCCTGACATGTACTGGACTGAGTCCTTCCCCAGCAGGCTTCACTCTTGTGCCTCCCTTGGATGCCCTACCCTCTGGAGTCCCTGTTCTTCTCTCCCTAAGTACAGTAATGAGATGCCTGGATGATGAATTCCACTCCTGCCCCATGGCCAGTGTGAGGAGTCTGGGCTGTGCTGCTCTTGCCTTGCATCCAGCTCCAGCACCTACTCCACAGACATGGGCTTGTAAATGAGAGCTGCATGAAGTCCTGAGAGGGCTACAAACAGCCTTACTGATCCTGGCTTGAAGCACCAAAAGTTCTAATTATAACCACTCTGCATAGAATACTCTTTACTTTTGAAGAACTGAAGCAGGACTCTGGGTGAGCTGACCCAGGTTCCTCAAGGCACGTGCCACCAACGGGCAGAGCAGCCAATAAGGGTACATGAGGAAAAGGGCAGGACCAAGTCATCTGGCCATACCTACAGAGGGGCTGTCCCAGCAAAGAGACCACACCTCAAACCACAGCGCTTGTATTTAAGACCTTGCAAAGGAGAAGTTTCCACTGCCCTAGAACACACATTCAACCTTGTCTGCAGTCCACCCTCTCACACCACCCCAGCCCCACAGTTGGCTGTTCTTCACAAGCAGGAGTGGCCCCTAAACCACATCTGGATGAAGGTACAGGGGAAGAAGTCAGAGAGACAGCAGGGGGAGGCAGCTCACCTAACTTGGGGGGAGGGGGCAGTTGCAGCCATCAAAAGAACATGGCAAGGAAAGAATGGGGTAAAAGAGCTAGATAGGATTCTTCCAGAGGGGAGACTGTGCCTTAAGGCTGGTGTGGAATGTGGGAAGAGGGACTACAGGCTGAGGCCACACACAACTGTGAGCAGTGTAGAGGCCAGAGGCAAAGGCTTCTGTAATGAGGGGTCTCCCCAGAGCAATCCCATCAGGGACGCCTTCCACCAGTGTGCCACAGTGCCATTCCTCCATACTATCCTACGCCTTCATCCTTTCTTCTTTGTTATGAGGTATGGGCTCTGAGCCACACCCCAGTGGAAGAAGACATTCAGCAGCCAGATCCAGGCTCACCAGAGAGCACCGGGGCCTATGGAGGGTAGACTAGGAGGATGGGGGTGGGATCAGGGCTGTGCCAGGCCAGTTTGGTCTGTACCCATGCCAGTGGCGAGAGATCAGTCATAAACATGACTACTGACCTGATGCAGGTCCCACCAGGCCAAGCCCTTCCTAACTAATTCTACCCTTGGACCCTGCCTCCCTCAAGGGCTTTCAGAGAAAACAAGGTCTCAGGAATGGATGTACAAACTGCCAAATCCCTTCTTTTCTATTTTTTTTCTTTCAGGGTGAGGGGAGGCAGGGAAAGAGCTTCACCGTCCTCTAAACTTAGAAAGTCATCATTTGGTAAGAGCTGACTAACTCTTTGCAAGTGACTTCTGCTAGAGAGAAACATGATCTCACACTGTTCACAGAAACATGCCCCAAATCACAAATGCTGGAAGAACTGCCCCAAGCAGCTACCCAGAGATTCAGAAGGCAGCTGTTGGTCTCCCAAAGCCCAGCTGTGTTCTCACCAGACACAGGTCCACAGGCCCTAGCTCCACCACTCGCAGGAAAGCTCCAAGGCCAGGATAGGGAATCCCGCCACACGGGTCCAGGCCATGAAGTCTGACAGGCTACCTCTGTAGGCACATGGGTGCAATCCAGATACCACACATACTGCAGCCACGTGTGTATACGCAAACACATAAATGCTCACACTTATACATGCATACATAACCTGCCCCACACACAGATGCACCCCCTTCAGATGCATTCCACATACGAGGGCATATACAGACCCTCAGGCATACACTAAAACACATGTGTTCACTTGTGTTCACATGCACACTCATGAACACATGTGCATAAGAGTTTTCACACACATAACCCTGGGCAGTGCCAGCTGAAGCTCAGCCCACACTTGCCACCTGCCTGCGGCATGGTGGGAGTTTCCAGAACCTTACAGCAGAAGGCTCATTGTGAGGTGATGAAATCAAGGTCTCCTCTATTGTCTCCCCAGAAATGCAGGGAACAAACCCGTCACGTCACGCTGTTACAACAGCTGAAAAGCTCAGGCCAAAATGATGCATCAACAATTAAGGGCTCCATCATTTCAGGCAATTAAAATAAATGCTTTATTTGAAAACTAATTAATTCTACCTACATATTTTTCCTATGACAATATCCTATGATTACTTGATTTATGACATCTAATTATTCTTTATTAATCTAATTGAGAATAATTGTATTATCCTATCTCTCCTGGCCCCTGGCCACTGGCCTCCCGGGGTGGAGGCCGCAGCCCTTGTGCATAGCCCATGCACAGTGCTGCTGTGTGGCTCTACCCCTTCTCTCTTACTCCATGAGTGGGAGGGCAAAAAAATCAGAAAAAAAAAAAAAACCAAAAACAAAACCCAGAGCACACTTTGGTTCTGCCTGTTCTTCAAGATGTCAAAGTGAGACAGATTATTTTAAAAATTTACAGGAGAGACAACCTGGCAATTTGGAAAATGGGTGACCTTTCCTCTGAATGTTACAAATGCCCTAAAAGTGCTGAATGTCCTTGGCCCACACACGGTGGAAAATAACAGCATACACCTGGGCAAATCACAGCAGCCTTTGTCTAGAGGCCTCAGTTATCCTTACTGAGAAGTCCCCTCTCTGTGACTCTATTGGACTGATGGTTTTATGTCAACTTTACATAAGCTAGAATCATCCAGGAAGAAAGAGCCTCAGTTGAGAAAATGCCTCCTTCAGATTGGCCAGTAGGCAAATATGTGGGGGGCATTTTCTTGATTAATGACTGATGTAGGAAGACTCAGTCTGGTGGCTGCCGTACCAGACCTGTGCAGGTGGTCCTGGGTTGCATAATAAAGTAAGCTGAGTAAGCCATGGAGTTATGATAAGTCAGGAAACAGTGTCCCTCCATGGTCTCTTGAGTTCCTGCCTCCAAGTTCCTGCCTTGCTTGAGTTCCTGCCCTGAATCCCCTCTATGACTATCTGAGCACAGGACAAGTAAGCCAAATGAACTCTTTTCTCCCCTGGTTGCTTTTGGTCATGATGTTTTATCACAGCAATGGGAAACAAACTGGGATGGGATATATCCCAAATCAGATCTAAAAAAGATCCAATCTAGCAAAAGGTCACTGGGAAATAGGCTGCCCTGGTACTCTCTTGTGATTACTAGTCACAAAAGGAAAGTGCACCTTTACAATGGAGACATCTAGCTGTCATCACTTTTCCCAAATGATAGAAGCTGGCGCCGCCAATGATAAATAAAGACATTGCTTATCTCCTGATGATATGCGATAAGATATCATGGCACCATCTGCATGAACCCATGCTGACAATGTTTAAACATGAACCTGGCCATGAGGAAACAGGCACATCCAGTCATAGGACACAGCACAAGACAATTAGTATAGGCTTGTGAATATGGCCAAGGTCAAGAGAAACTACAGAAGCAAAAGGACTTTTCTATATTAAAGCAAAATGAAGAGCTATCAAAGGCATCTGGGCAGCTCTCTGAGGCAGAGGCCAGAAGATCTCTGAGTTTGAGCCTGGCCTACAAAGTGAGTTCCAGAAGAGTGAGGGTTACACAGAGACGCCCTGTCTCATCCCCTACCCCAAGAGAGACTGAGAGAAAGAGTTGGGGGGGGGGGTGTGGAGAGAAACTTTAGATACCGGATATTAAATTAAATTATTATTAAATATTTTTAAATTATTAAATTATTATTAAATTACAAACTGGATCAAAACAGAGAAGGCTAGGCTAGGCATGATGGCGGATTCCTTTAATCCCTTCATGCAGGAGACAAAAGCATGTGGATCTCTGTGAGTGTGAGGTCAGCCTGGTCTACATAGAGCTCCAGGCTAGATAGATGGGTTCTAGAGATACCTTCTCTCAAAAAAGGATGGGGTGGGGAAAGAGGTGGGGAGAAAAAAAGGCTAGGATCAGCACGATGGGTCAGTGGAGAAAGGTACTCTTTCCATACAAGCCTGGAAACCTGAGTTGAAACCCAGAACCCACACAGTGGAAAGAGAGAACTCCAGACTTATTCTCCAACCCCTACATGCATGCTACAACCCCCCCCCCCATATCATTCATATACACACAAATAAAGAAACAAATAAATAAGATCAAAAGGAGAGCCATGATTGATATTTGGGGACATCTGATTTTGGAGGTACTAGAGAAAATCTGGGTATGTACAACAGTTCATATGTATTTATTATTATTATTGTGGTATATTTGTTTTAGATTAAAAAAAATTTTTTAGCTGGGCAGTGGTGGCACACACCCTTAATCCCAGCACCTGGAAGGCAAAGGCAGGTAGATCGATGATTTTGAAGCCAGCCTGGTCTATAGAGCAAGTTCCAGGACAGCCAGGGCTACACAGAGAAACCCTGTCTTAAAAAACGAAACAATATTTTTATGTTTGTGGATATTTTGTCTGCATATATGTTTTATGTACCAAATGCACGTCTG